CTAGAGGGTTAAAACCTCTCTATCTCACTAACAAACAACAATGGATTCTTAGAACTTTCTAATCACTTTCTCCTCCACTAGGAATGAGAAAAGTGAGAAGGAGCCCTAAATAAAATCCAACAACTCCTTACTTTCTACTCACTAAAAGTGTCCTAAGACTTCTATCTCTCTATCTATCTTTATCTCCTCTCTTCTCTTATAATTCAATTCAAGCCCTCCTTTTAAGTTTTCCAAAACGTGCTTTGGTGTCTTTTCAAAATCTGTCCACATTCAATGAATATTCCAAGAGTTACCACTTTTCAAGAGCCATTTCAATGTATTTTCGTTCCCATTAACTGTACTCCATGATTTCACCAAGAGTTTCTTCAAACACCCCTTTGAAATTCGTCCAAAATTCCTTGAATTTTCATCATAACTACCTCAGGTGCTTAAGCATGAGGTCTTCAGCACTTAGATGTGTCCTTCTCTGCCTTCTGGTGCTTAAGCGTCAGTCCTAGGCACTTAGGTGTCACAATTCATTTTCAGACCTTCTTCATTTTTGCTCCAAATTTGATCATTTTTTTCACTCCTTTCACCATTTTTCAGCCATTTAATTTTACCTAAAAGAAAAACACACAAATATCTTCCATTAAAGCGTAATATCCTCAAAAATAGGTATAAAAATGTGTACATAAATGCTATATATTTTAGGTGTATCAGTCGACTTTCAATATTTAGAATTAGAGCTTTATTTACAGCTTCATTCATTGAATATCCTGAACAAGAAACAATATTAGAAGAAAAGGATTCTCCTTTAGAATTGATAACTATTTTTAACATCTTACTTTAAGTTTTTTCATCCTTAATTTGGGATGCAATTTTAAGTATCTCTTCTTTCATTGAAGATGGTGGAGTGAATAAGTCATTCATTCCTTGATTTGTAATAATTTTCATTTTTACATTTGCACTCAGATTTTGATGTGCAATTATTTTCACCAAATTTTGATGAATGAGAAGAATTGTCCTCAATTTCATCTGAATAGTCAGAGGTCTCCGAATTTTCAGAGGATGAATTTAATATAATTTTGAAAATATATTGCTTAATGTTTTTGTCAATATTAAGCTTATTTATTTTCTTTTTAACCATGCATTTATTTACTTAGTAGTCAGTTTTGCCACATTTGTAGCATTTGATTTCTCTATCTTTCTTTTTCTTATGAGAAATCTTTGGCATTTTCTCTAAATAATATTTTTCAGAGTATTGTTTATGATATTTCTTTTTTTTTATGGAAAATTTTTCTCTTTCTTTTGGAAATTTAGGAATATCGTAAGAAATTTATTCACAGAAAGTGCATAATTGCTTTCTTTTTGTCAATCATTCATTTAAAGATGATATCTCAATTTGAGATCTATACATAAGGCTAAGCCTTCCTATACACGTGTTTATTAGTTGTCCAAGTGATATTTTCATATGGAATGTGTTTGATAGTAGTATCTTGCAATTGTCTTTTTACCTTATCAGCAAAAAGATTAGGTAAACATTTAATAAATTTTTTTTTTGCATCTGTTAAAGACATTACTCTAGTTAAAAAAGACATCTTTGTACCAACAAAAATGTGTTAAAGTTTGGCATCTTAATTTTTGTAAAAGAGAATGAATTTGCTCTCCATTATAGGACACTGTGTTAGTAAAATGTTGTAAAATATTGATAATTAATTTATAAACAACATCTTTATTTTCTTGATTAGGATTTCCTATTATTGTAGGACTTAAAAAATTCTTATCTTTATTTTTAAGTTAAATAATTATCCCACCGGCCTTTGAGAAGACCAGTAAACTCACACGTTAACTGGTTTACGATTTGATGTGCTCAATTATTATGATTATGAGCTGCAGAGACATAAATCATCATTCTTTGTAAAACTATTTATATTTGAGGTTCAGTCATACCATCAATATATCATTCAGATATCTTTGATGACTTATAATCATTTTGATATTTATTTTTATCTTCTTCATATAGAACATTGGCAGGGATAGATTGAGGGTAGTAGTATCGACTTGTCTGCCTAGTTTGATATGAAGATGAGGCATTATTGCCTTTTAAATTAAGTATTTTAAATAATTCTAATTCTGAATTATTATCTTGAAATTGTTCTTCAATGTGTTCAATTTTAATCTTATCATTCTCAGAATTTTCTGATTGATCAGTTAATTGATTATCTTTATTTAAGGTCATAATTTTAGTACCTTTTATGTTTTTAATTAATTCTTCAAAATTTTGAGTCGTCGGTCCAAAGTGGAAATTAGGACAAAGAGGTGGTTGTATAGCAAGAGCTGAAAAATAATTGTCGAACTTACTTTCTTTTCATTTTGAGTTTTTAAAGAGAAAAGAATTTGGTTTATCTTATTTTCTATATTCATTAAGTGATTTGAAATTAAAGATAGATTTGTATTTATAAAATTTAATTCTTTAATTACATCAATAAAATCTTTGGTGCTAGTAATTTCTAAAGTGTTTTCAAAAGCATTTAACTCAAATTTTGGGTTTCTATTGTCTAAATCAAATACTGTGGGAACACTTGGAGGATAAATGGATTCTACTATTTCTCGAGAATTATTTTTTCATTTTCTAGTTAGCATGTCTAATTCATGCTCTAATTTTTTGGTTATTTGATTACTAAGCCATGTTAAAAATGAAAGAAATTTTTTCCTTTATAGAACCTATTTTCATTTTCTTCATAATATATTTTAGAAATTTTTCTTCTATCATCTTTCGTAATATAAATACGATACTGATTTTTGAATGATTCATATTTAGGTTATAGATAATCATTAATTGAAGTTTTTATTATTTGTTTTTTAGCAATTTGTTTCAAATCAGTCATTATTAAAATTAAAGCTAGCCTCTAATTGCAGAGAAAGGTTTTCCACTCAATTTGGGTAAGTAAATTATTGGGTGATAGATTTATTCTTTCTATCCTATGATTGATTCATAAATTTTTATCAAAATCATTTTGGGATAAATTTGAAGAGGGATAAGATATTTGTGGAAGAGTGTTGGATCTTCTCGGATTAAATCTTATCACAACATCATCATTAGTATCTTGACTAACTTGTTCAACATCCTGCTTAATTACAAGATGAAGATTTACAGCAGTATGTAACTGTCATGACTCAGGGAAGCTTACTTCATCCCATTTTATAGTCCTATTGGTAGCTATATTTGAAGCTAACAAATTTGTTTTTGCGGTTGTAGATCTATCTTCTGGTTTCATGTTATTTTTAATATATGGACATAAATTGTTCATTACCTTAAAATCAAATCTATAAACTATAGCGATTGTTTCATATCCAGGTAAAACATCACATCAAAGCAATTTGACTTGGATTGTAGCTACTTTAAAGAGATTTACATCTGTTAGTGACAGACTTAGATTTGGGAAAGTGTTAAAGAAAACTGACCCATGACATATGCTAGTTTTCATAACTCTCATTAACGATTCTGCCCAATTAAGGCATCTTGCATATCTTAAGCAGATCGAAATTGAAACTTTTAATCCTCTTATTGTTAGAGGTTTAAATGCTACTTGAATTAAGCCTATGTGAATATATTTATAATTTTCTAAATAACTATTAAAATCTTCTTGATTTAATAGAGAAATTGTTTTCTATTATCTGTCTATTGTTAACGATTGTTCAACAGTTTTAATCGAGTAAATCATAGGTTCCAATTTTATAGATTAGAGACTCTCCACCTTAGGAATAGTTCATTTATTTAAGTCTTCTTTGTTTGTGGGATATTCCTACAATTCTGCATATTTAATATTATTATTTCTAGATTGAGATCTTTGTAAGTTTCGAGATATTATGGTACTGTTGTACTGTGAAGTGGTGCTCATGAAAGGCAACTAATAAAACGTCCAAAACTTTTTTTCGTTAAATAAGTTTAATAGAGTAATCCAACAACAGCTAGATGAAAATATTATTGCTCTACTAAAGATTTAATTCAAACGAGCGGAGTCAACAAGAACCACGCAACAAAGCGTCCATCCCGGACTTAAAAACGCCCACATGCGACGATGACTACTGGATTAAGCTTAACTTGGAGCAATAAAATGATCTGACCAGAAGGTCAAACTCAATATAATCTTGCATATCAGTCAAGGATATTAAGTTACAGAGCAACACCCGACTTAACTATACAAGATATATCTATCTTGATAGTGCTAGGTTACTATATTAAAATTACCTATAGAAAAAGAGCTTCAGAAAAGATTTAGATACTCATGACTCTGATAACAATTGGTTTATTGTACAACGACTAATGTAGCTTATTTAGTTGCGCAAACTAAACTGGTGATTGGCTGATTAGGTGGTACGCCAGTCACTGCAATGATGGGCGACCATATCCATATATATATATATTATTTAATGCCGAAATAGTGCATCAAAACATAAAAAACACCTATTAGAAAAATATTTTGCAATATTCAACTGGACGAGCCAAACCATAATGCTTGAAAAACAAAAAAAATACGTCTAGCGCCTTGAGATCAGCTTTGGTCAAATGATAAAGAATAGTACTGTAAAAAAATAATTTCACTTGTACATTAAGAATCAAAGTATATCAAGAGATTAAATTTGATTCTTAAACCTTCATTAAGTTTTTACCCTTCGAACATGTGAGAGGGGTTTGTACATCGAAAGGACCAAAAGGTTAAAATTAAAATTTTCAAATTTCTGACGAAAATTTTTAACAAATAACTACATTAATCACATCATGCCTGCAGTCGCATGTCAATTCATATTTGAACCTCTAATGTAATAATTAGTACTTCGAAGGCTTTTAGTTTTGTCATGGATCTTTCTGTTCCTCCAGAAATTTTACCTTCAGTTATCTTGCTTCGTAGAAGAATCCAATCAAGGAAAAGATGGGTCAGAAGACAAGAAAGCGAACAATTTTCAATAGGTTTTCACCAAAAAATCAATACAACAATAAGATAGTTAAAATTCGCTTGATCCATTAATAAAGCTAGAAACAAAAATACATTTATGACACAAGAAAGGTGGGTCCATCAAAACATATCAAGTGACTACTCATGTCGTTCTCATCCAGCAATATATACATTTTAACATTTTTCCTTTCAAATCATTACTTCTTAAGCAGCCAACATGCACTCAGAAACAAAGGAAGCGCCATGCAAACCTTAAGCCGCAGCCATATATACAACAAAGTTCAATGTAGAGTAAGTAGGCATATAAGATAGTAAGATTCTGTACATATATATACACAATAAATGGTTCACTGAAGTGCCGTTAGATCTCCGGAATCAGATTTTGCAGCATCTTCAATATCTTGCACAATGGATTCACCTTGTTTGAGTATTAATTCTCTCATATGCTTATAAGTTTGGAGTTCTTCTAATGCATCAGCAGTGGTCCTCGACTTTGAGAGTTCTGAAGCTGTAATATCCAAACACGAAGAACTATCGACCTTTTCCGCATCATTTTCATCATTACTTTTCTTTTCCTGCCGGAATTTCTCACTTGAAATTTCGTCCTCGGAAGCTTGCATGGATTTGAGCGTGTTGGAATTATCAAGCTGTAGTGGTGGTGCGGTCCTAAGCATCCTAACTAGAGCGCCAACAGCTGCATCAGGAGATCTTTTGATTGGAATTAACTCTCCAGGGCCCAGATTCTCCCCTGCATGATATTTGCAATCAGCAGATCCAACCCTGCAAAAGCAACAAATAAACCAGATGAGCGCTTACAATAAAATCAAATGAACACAATGAAAGTACAACTAAAAAAATACCAATTTTTCTCATTTGTAAATTTCATTCCAATTTAAAGATCTTATGAGAGAAAATACTACCTATAAAAGGTGAAGTGAGTGAAGAAAAAATTTACTTTGTACGGACTCTAATGTGTTTCTTGCATTAATATTTTTCCATCTAAAATTATGAGATAATGGCTGCAAGAGCTATTGGTTTTGTGAGCTTTGCTATTCTATATGTCCATAGTTCAGATCCTCTGATTGGTGTTTTGTTATAATATCTAATATTATTTTTCGCAATCCAAGATCTCAGCTATTGAAATATTGTTTGCCTTGACTCACAAACCTAATAATTCTGATACTTTAGTGCAGCATTCAAAGACGTCAACTATTCTATGAGTCACCAATATAAATACAAGTAACTTCAAACTCCTAACAAAACTTGAATTATTGCACCAAAGAGATCTTTCACATCAAGAATTCTACTTCCAGTTAAGAGTGTTTTCTTATAATAACAACTTCAAGGCTGGCTTAGACATGACACATTCTGAAGAATTACATGAAAAGAGGTATAGGTCTCAACTTTGCTTGTTTAAGTTGGGTAATGAAATGCTCTTCGATCCTAAATGTGTGGGTTGATGTGGAGACTAAAAGGATTCATTTGCTTGAGACTACTTGTGCTTAATTCAAGAAGAAGATATTTTCATCCCAAGAATCAAGAATAAGATTAAGTAAACATCGAGTCATAACTAGTCTAATAAAAATATTTAATAGATTTAATAATGTGGAAAACTGAAACCTCATCATATTGGCCTTGAAGTAATTGAGAGAATGAAAAATACCACTTACTGGATGGCACTTAAATCAAGGTTGACAAGAGTGAGGATGCTTTATGACTCCTCGATTTGATTTTATTTTCATGATGAATGTCACATTATTCAACAAAAACCCTTAAATATTCAACAAGACTTGAATTATGAGGAGATGCCAAAGCATTTTGTCGATTGCAAAATTCAAGGGCTGCTTAGACAAACAATACCCTTCTGTTAACATGTTACGGAAGAATCATAATAAAGCAGAGAAAGCATCAAAGATGGAGGAGAAGATGCATGCCATGCTTCCAAACTTGTTTGGAATTGAATATTTGAATTTGAAGACAATTCTTTTTAGCATGGTAGAATGCAATAATCTACAAATTTAAAAAATAAATATATCCTAAGCTGATCAAGGAGTGATCAAAATAGTCAAATCAACCAAATCCACTTCTAGTTGACACGATGCCGGAGATGGGGGTTTGGAGAAGATTCAGCAAAAATAACAAAAAAAGCAATCCAAGAAAGAAAGAAATAGCCAGAACAAAGACGAGAAACACTAATCAAATAAAAGTACAAGATACAAAAGTTTCCTCTTCTCGCAACCGATCGATACAGAAATCACCGCCTGATAGATTGACAAAGGAAGGAGACCAGAGATGTCACCACCAACAATAAAAGGATACCATTGCTACCACCCAATGCCATGGATACGAGACAGCTAACACAATAAACTAACACATATTTATAATAAATAAAAAACTAAACCTAATAAAACAAACATACGAAAATACCGTTGTTGATATTATGAGTGGGTGGCAACCCTAGCCTTAGAGAGAGGGTCAACCAGTCTTGCCCCACTTAGACTGAAACGGTCAGGCATCAATCGACCTGGATTTGGCGGAGCTTCGAAGTCATCTATCTAAGCTTCTGACTCTCCATGATCTGGCGTCAGATCGGCCACGTTGAAAGTGGTGGGGCTCCTGTAACCTCTCGAGATTGGAGGGTCTTTGACTTTCGACACTTCTCTCTTTGGTGGCATGATTAGGGTTTAGGATTAGGAGGTCAAAAAGGGTGTATGGGACTGATTTGGGGTGTAGAAAAACTATTTAAGATTGCTGATTTCGAAATCAACAAGGGAGAATTAGGGTTAGGTCAAGATTTATACCATAAAGGGAGCACATATCCTCACAAAATTCAAGTAAATAAAAGACCCCTAATACGATAAACAACTAAATATTTATAATCAACAAAGAACGTAAACTTAATTAAAAAAAAAGACGGAAATGTTCTTATTGTTATTAGGAGTGGTTGGCAATCCTAGCCAGAGATAGAGAGCCAACTGACTGATTGAACTGGACTAGGGTCCCCCCCCCGCCCCCCCAGCCCGCATCAGAGCAAGTCCGACACTTATCTTCTAATATCCATTTGTCATTCCCCAACTTCTAATGAAATAACATATAAAAATATTGTCCAATTTCACAACACATACTTGAAAATTTTCACCATCGTGCAGCTTCTCATGGAGGTCACACATCCAAGTGTGAGCCCCATGAACTTAAGTTTCACCAACTTAATTTTGAAGAGAAATATATGTGAATGCTCTAATGAATTGGTATTCCAAAATAATATCATGAGTGGCTAAGAAGTTTCAGTTTGAAATGTGAAATCACGAAGGGAAATAGATTTCTTGATTTTACCCCATGTTTATCGACAATTTTCATACTTCAGTGTTCCTTCCCTTATGAAACTGACTTCCTGCACTTGGTGGCATGAAAATTTTATTTTCTCGGTTTCTCGACAAGAGGAAAATACTATGGAATTAGAATTTTCAGATTTCAAGTAACATATAGCTTTTATAATTAAGTATTTCAAGCACATTCGAATCATGGTAATTCAATTTAATACATTGCATTGGTTCCATAGTGTGCATGCTCATCTTAAAACTATAGTGACCATAAATCCACTCAAAATAATGAAAAAAGGCAACAAAACTTTGGACATGTCTCTTAAAGTTATAAGATCTTTTTATCTTATAGGTCCATCGAGTGTATCTTACAAGTACTGTTGACAAGCCCGTAAGCATCCCCATATGCTAAATTCAAAATTAGGCATCCTAGTAATAACACAATATTATTTTTATTCATTAATAATGAATAGAATTTTGTATGTGCAACTTTAGAAAAAATCAGAATTCATTTTGGACATGTTTTGAGTTTTTTACAATTGTTTGATTTTTAAATAAATTTTCAATCAAAATTTTAACTTGATTGAATATCTATTTATATACTTTGTTCCAAGCTTTGATATTATTCCGTTGGATCTAGAATGTGATTGCAAGTTCAAATCAATTATTGTTTCATATTTCTATGATATTGACATATTGAGATGTTCAACAACAACAACAATGACAACAAGTCTTTATCCCACCAAGAAGGGCGGAAACATGAATCTTTTTCTCCATTGTGTCCTATTGAGTGTCATATTTTCATTTAATTCTATAGATTAAGATCATTTTTTATACTGTATGTCGAAAACTTTTTATGTCTACCTCTACCTTTCTTAACATCGGACGAATCTAAAACATCTGCTCTCCTAACCAGATCATCAAATGGTCAACATTTAATGTGACCAGACCATCTAAATTGACTCCCTCTAATCTTGTCCTCCGTTGGAGCTGCACCAACCCTATCATGGATATATTCATTTGGCATCAAGTGTCGAGCCACTCATCCACCTAAGCATTCTCATCTCAGCAACACTTAACTTTGTTTTATGCTTCTCTTTTAAAGGCCAACATTTTGAGCCATTGAACATCTCAGGTCTCACCATCATCTTATCAAAATTTCCTTTCAGTCTAAGCAATACTTTTCTATCACACAATAGGCCTGATACGTTCCTTCACTTCAACCAACCAACTTTAATTTATTTACATCACTAAACAGTAATATCCTAAAAGTATTCTTCATTATTGCATAAATTAAGGTAGATACAAAAACTGTTGCAGTGAAAATTCATTGAACTCCGAACTTAACGCTAGCTCTTACGGTAGTTTCCTGAAAACTTTGTTAAAAGTTGTTCTTCGTTCCTAATATTCCCTAAAGTACAAATCATCTTTTCTTAAAGCATACTTAACAAAAAAACTATGCTGCCACCATATATTCTAACAGCATTTTGATGTTGTCGTGAAAACCTTAATCAAAACATGTTTCTGACCCATTAATAATCTGCTTAGTTTCACCTGAAGTTTAATGTTGTCACATTTAATAATAAGCAATATCCGTTTCCATTTACATATCCTCAAAAGCATCATACAGCTGTCTCTCATGTGCAGACCAACTGCTTACAGAATTAAAGCTATGCTCAACAATCCTTAACGAGAAAAACTGGAACATAGTTTTTTGCCCAACCTGATCTCTAAAAGGCTCTTTAAGGACATCAAATATTTCCAATTTTGACAAAAGATTATTCCAAGGATTTCAGCTATTTAATTTCTATAATTAGTTCCATAGTGATAGCATTATAAACATTATAAAGCCAACATCTATTTCTACATTCTTAGCTCTATGCTAGTGCAAACAAAAGCTCACCTAAAAGTTCACTTTTATATACTTATTTCACCAAATAATTATATCATCATCATCATTAGCCTTATCCCAACTATTAATAGTAGGCCTTGTGAATCCTTATTTTTCAGTTAATCTTGTTGGGTATTGTATGAGATATTATTCATCACAAATCCCTATGAATAAACCTTATCTATATTACCTTTGGCCTATTTATCTTTCTTCATAATCCTTTGATATTTCATCTACTTGGTCAAAGGATACATTCTTTACCATTTTCTAAACCTGTCCAAAGACTCCAAACCAACTAATTCTATATTTAATTACCTCATATTCAATAAATATCACTAGCAATTCTCCTGACATGAAAATTTCTTAATTTATCCCTCAAGTATTGGCATACATTTCTTATAACGTTCTTATTTCCATCAAGCTCAATTAAAATAAAGAGTTATTCACTTCCTAACTCTCAAATCCATACATAATCATTATTCTGGTTGTAATTTTATAAAACTTACCTTTAAATCCATACAACATTTTGTTATTGCAAAATACTCCCAAAGCAGTTCTTTGTTTTAACC